TCCTTGTCCCTGTCCTTGGAACTCTGCGTGTCTCCCTCTCCCTCTGCACTAGTTCCCAGTGATCCCCAGGGAACTGTCAGAGCCCCGTGGTTTGGCCACCTCTCCTTCAATCCCAGACACCTTCGCTAGCTACCTCCTCTGTCCCCACGGGCTGTCTGAGGCCCCTCACTCTTCACATGGAATCACCGAGCCAGGACTCCCACGCCCTCCCCAGGCAGAGGTGCCCCTGCTTCTCCCAGCGCCCCCCACTCAGCTGCCGGAGGCTCCGTCCTCCCAGTTGCCCGGGGTAAAGCCGCGAGGGCAGCCTGGACTCTTCTCTTTGCCCCACAGCCCGCACGCAGGCGGCAGTGGATCCTCCTGCTCCACCATGACATGTACTCAGAGTCCCGCTGTTTCTCGCCCTCCCTTGCTTCACCCTAATCAGCCTGTCTGGCTCTGGCCTGGATTATTGCCACAGCCACTCACTTGGTCACTCTGCGACTTTTGTGCTGCGGCTGATGCACACAGCAGCAAGAGAGATCAGATCAGGAGTAGGTTGAGTCATGTGATTCCTCTGCACAAACCTGCAGGGCTTCCCACGTGACCTGGGATGACACGCAACGCGCTTACCCAGGCCCACAGGGCCCTCTCCAGCTGCACCTCCTACGTGCACACAGTGCTCACTGGGCCCCAGGACCTTTGCACTTGCTGTTTCTTCTGCCTGGAATTGTCTTCTTTGGATATTTGCAAGGCTCACGTGCTCGTTTCATTCAGGCTTCTACTCAAATGCCACAGTGTCTGAGAGGCCTTCCCTGGTCACGTGATCTGAAGTAGCACCCACTGCCCCACCCCTGCCTTTTCCCTCACTCCATTTTATTTTCCCTCAATGCACTTTCACTCCCTGATATTTTATTCTGTGTTTATCTGTCTGTTTGTTTATGGTCTGTACTATGAGCTCAGTGTAAGAAATTTTCTCTGTTTTGTTATCAGTTGTGCTCTAGCTCCTAGTACAGTGTTGGGCACATAGTAAATGCTCAGTAAATCCTACCCAGATGAGTGAATGTAGAGCCCTACAGCAGCACATGCTGGGGAATGGAAGGCAGGGGAAGACCCCTGTGTCAGGGGTGTGGAAGCCCAGCCTTACTCTAGAAGGCTCACCGAGAGCCCCAGCCCCATTTCTAGTCTTGACAGCCCTGCATGGCGTCTGTGCTGCCCACCCCAACCTGTTCTCTTACAGCACAGGGGACGAACACAGCCGGGGGAACTGGGGTCACTTGGACCAGGTGGCCGCGCTGCGCTGGGTCCAGGACAACATTGCCAACTTTGGAGGGAACCCAGGCTCTGTGACCATCTTTGGAGAGTCGGCGGGAGGTGAAAGTGTCTCTGTTCTTGTAAGTGTTCCAGGCCCCACCCCCAGGCTGATGTGGCAGCTGATAGGACCTCTTGGAGACCAGCCCACCCAGCCATGGGGACCTTTGCTTACAAGGCCTGGACTGGGGACAGACCCCACTCACTGCCCAGCATCAGGCAGTGGAGAGCTAATGTACTAATTCTCCTTGGCCCTCACAAAGCTCGGAGCTCAGCCTTATGTCTTGGGGCCGTAAGAATCTCTGGCCCCAGCCTGCACTGGTGACTGTCCTCCTCTGCCAACTTGGTTGAGCTGTCTCTCTCCTTCCTGCTTATTTTAACACCTGGACTCAGCTCATTTCCCCTGGGCGGTAGGGATGGGTATAAATTATGAACATGTGGAGGCAAGGACAAGAGCTGGACAGACGTCATCGTTTGGTTTGAAGCCAGATCTATGTGTCGAGGGGACACGAGCACTGAGAGGAGGCAGAAGCTTCCGCTGAGGTGGTCTGATGCCCCCCACGCCCGAGAGGGAGGCAGCCTCTGTGGGACTGAGGGACTAGGTGGGCTGGGGAAGGTGGGGGAAGGAAGGAGGAATGGAACACAGGATGGGGAGGGACGGGACAGGGGATGTGGGACACAGACACAGCCTGGAGGCACGGGATGTCCTGCCAGTGTGGGGAATGGGGCTGGGCAGATGCTGAGGGCGCTGGGATGGGAAACCAGGTTGGAAGGTGCTGGGAGCTGTGAGGAGCCCTCCAGGTGCCT